ATCATCATCATCATTTATTAACAGTACCGCCACGTATTGAAAGGCATTCATCCGAACCGGCACCCAGTGTCTCGCCAACTTCACCTCACTTACTTACTGTGCCACAGAATACGCCGTTCTTGATAAAACAACATTCGGATCCTCTGTTACCTAGTCAACATACGTCCGCTCATTTAACAGTTAGCAGTAGCGGTAACTTAAGTAGCACCCTAACCAATCCATTTGTATCATTACATCGTCAATATTCACATCAGCTTTCAAATACCAATGCTACATATGTCGCGTCTAGTGCACCCTTACAACACTCTCAACACATATCCCTACCGGAATCGATTTATGCCAGTTCCTCACCGCCGCCTGCTGGCTCATCGCATTACATAGTGCCGCAGCAAATGCAGCAATCACAGCAAACAATTGTTGCTTCTGGCAATAATAATTCAGTAACTTCAGCTGTTACAGATACTACAAGTCCCGTTAAAACTTTAAGTCTACCCCAGTTCACTACCATCTATTTGAGTTCCGAACGTTCTTCAGTTCCAATACCAGAGCGTCCCGTTTCCAGAGACAATATCTCAGTTTCATTGGCAGTTGCGTCCACATCGTCGACTCTCACTGTCGGCCACAATAACAGATTACGTACCTCTAAATCTCTACAACCACATGGGTCAACGTCGTCAACAACATCGGGTGTACACAGTGGCAGCACCAGCAGCTCACTCGAACATTTACCTACACTGCGTGTTAGAAACGAAGAGTTGCAAAGATCCGTATCCTCCCCACAGGTAAGATCGATCCACTTTGAAATAAATTCACTATCACGTTTCTCACAATGAATGCAGCGAGCGTCATAGTCAATTACGCGATTCCTGGGTAAAATTAATATAAAATGTGTGTGTTGTTTATGTTTATAGGTTAATTTAGGACTAAGTTTATAGGCCACATATTTTTTGAATCCGATTTATATGACATTTATTTTTTGATGCGGACTGTGCATAATAAAGGTCGGTGCATAACTCGTAAAGGCAGTGTCAAATGTTCTCTCTGTGCTCTACAAATGGTCCTCGATTGGGTCGTTGCCGTTCAATGCCGTCCTTCTGACAGGAAGACCGTCAGCCACATGGTGGTACTTCGTGAAAAGGATTCATTTTGATGTCATAACTATTTCCAAATTTACAATTACTTTAGTTATTTATTTTTTTCTTTTTCTGTCTATCTGTCTGTCTGTCTGTCTGTCTGTCTGTCTCAAGGAAAGGCAACCCGAGGGCATGGTCTACAGTTTGAACTAGAAACATTTCCCGATAGCGACGTGATCTCTAGACTTGCGTTTCTTTAATTGCCACCAGTTGGGATCGATGTCAGTCGCAGATTTGGCAAATCAACGGTTGCGCAAAGTTGAAGATATTTTATATTTTGCTTTGAAGTTTCTTGTGAATATTCCGATCATTAAGCTTTGCAAAAAGTATATTTTAAATCATGTTGAGTTCCATTAAAAGAAAAAAAAAGGAAAGAATTTATTAACACACCTAATATTTTATTTCTAATAAATTACAAACTTTCAGCACGGTTAGCTTTCTACTCACTATTATTGGGAATACCGATTAGTTCAGTTCGTTCAGTATGAATATGTATATATGAATATACATATTTAATAAACATATATATTTATGATATATATATATATATATATATATATATATATGCAGAATTTAAGCTCAGCGCACTTAATAAGTGTATAACTCAATATTCAAGCATTGAAGCAGTGAAATTAAATTCGTTTTCATTTCGCATAAAAATGTTATAGTCGGACAACGGCGACTATTACATATCCTATACGACTTCGCCTAATACAGTGATTCGCTCGTTAGATTTTCTCTCCACATAAGTGTTTGCGCCTCGTGATAGCATTTATATGTATTGGGGTCCAAAAAAAAGTAGTCTTATGTGATTCAAATTTGTTAACCTTAAATTTTTTTTCTGAAACGCTACTATGAATTAATCTCTTAATTATCAATATATATAAAAGATTAATTTACTACTTATTGGATATCTTATGTGGATTGGGGCCAAGAAATAGACCCATGTGGTTTTAATTATTCGAGTTTTTTTGGCATATAAGGGATTACGTTTCATGAGAATTCTTATATGCGGTGGTATCCAAAAAATAGACTTGCTCGATCCATGTTCCAGGTTGCTTTGTCAATTTACTTGATTTACTGAGCTACTTTCCACCATGAAATATTGGAAATTCGATCTTTTTACCGTACATTTGTAGCTTTAATTTCCGTAGGAACAGTTATATGGGAGGGAGTAAAAAAAAATTGCCCGATCCGCTCGAAAGATTTCACACCAATTTAGAATGCCGAAATACTACTATTTAGCCACTTTTGCTGAGAAATTTTGAAAATTACTATTTTTTCATATAATGACTTCTCACAATAGAGCGTTATATGGTGGAAAAAGTGGACCGGTCCGAACCATTTTCAATATCGTTCGTCCTCGAGTGGCAACACGTAACTGTACTAAATTTTATCGAAATATGGCATGATTACATGGACAGACATCAGACGGACAGATAGCCTTAGATCAACAATTCGGATGATGATTCTGAATCGATTGGTATCATAAATGTTAGTTCTATCTTAAGCTCTTTTGTGTGTTACATACGTCCGCACTAACTTAATATATTCCTCCCCCCGCCCCCCTCTTACCACAAGTGGTGTAGGAAATCTAGGGAAAAGAAAATTCTTTCTAAGTGAATTAGTTATACGTTTATTTCAAAATTGTTATCTCCTTTTGGTGTATTGCAGACTTCGCGAGAAATAATAACTTTGGAGAATCCACGTGCTAGTCATTGTCCAGTTATACGGCCTGGACCGGCCCTGGGTTGCAATTTTTGTTGGAATACTATCGATGGGCATGGTCGAATTTTGCGGCGCAAAACTAAATATCATTGTCCTGAGTGTCAGACGAATTTATGTATTGTGCCGTGCTTTCAAGAATATCACGAACGTTTGAATAATGAAGTTGCCAATGCGACAGCAGCAGTTGCTCAATCATCGTCATCATCGTCATCATCATCAGCAACAACGACAACAGCAACAACAGCAGCAACAACAGCTATTCCCTCCACAACAACCAGTAATAGTAGTAATAGTAGCAGTAGTGCGATCACAACTACTGCCACTACAACTAATAATCAAATCGATCATCGAAATTTGACGAAAACATCGGCAGCTAGACGTTACACTAAAACAGAAAAAACTTAAAATGAATGATCGACAACTACTTGATTCGAAGTCAGTGTGTCTTTCAGCCTTCAATCTTGTTGTTATTGTTATTATAAACAATCATTAATGCTCTTGATTTTTTAGTCAAACAGTAGAAAGAAAGAAGTTCGTTACATATAAGAAGAAGAAAAAGAAAAAGGTAAAACGAAAGAAGAAGAATAGCGATCTTTCTTAGCATATTTGTTATTTGTCAAGGGATTTTTGGTTACATCTCTAACACATGCACAAAAATCCCAAAATCCTATTTGTTTGTTTAATCTTTTGGTAAATCTCTTCTCGTTTATTAACAAAAAAAAAAAAAAAAAAACCGAAAAACAAAAAAAGCCCCACGAAAGAGATTTTTATTTGTTGGTACAAGGCTTACAAAAAAAAGGTTTTAATCAAAAATATAGATGACGACGAAAAAGCGGGGGTTAGGTGGGAGAAAAAGCCAAGTTCTTTACAAATGTGCTGCGTAGAGAGAGAGAGAGAGCGAGAGAGAGAGAGAGAGAGTTAACCTTTTTGCAAAAAGCCTTCAATATTAAATTTGTTGAATTGTTGTAAAAAGTCTTCCTGTTGGAAGGCGCAATAATAATATTTGTTATAAAAGTTAAATTTTAACAAAAGAAAAATCAAACTTAATAAATTTGGGCGCGCGCGTGTGTGTGTGTGTGTGTGTGTGTATGCATGTGTGTATGCATGTGTGTGTCTGTATTTGTGGCTCTGTTTGTTCAATACGCAAATATATATATTTTTATATATTAGCTACAAAGTTAAATCAATATTTAGCATGTAGTAGTTTATAGTAGAATGCTAATCATCTTTTCTTTTTATTTTTTGCTTTTTGCGCCTGGTCGAAATATTTGTATATGCAATATTGTCGCAAAAGGGTTAATAAATACCAAAACGAAAAAAGAATTAATTAATTTTGCTTGCTTTCGTTGTTTCATCGCAAAAAAAAAAAAAAAAAAAAAAAAAACCAAGAAAAACAAGAAAAAACAAGAAATGCCAGTAATATACTTAGCAAGCGTAAATGTTACTACTCAATAATTATGACACGATTATATAAGATAGCATAGGATGGCCAATTGAAGATTTTAATCGCACATACATTGTACGTTTTTTCATAAACTGATTTCTAAAATTAATTGAGGGGGACAAGGGGACCAAAAGAAAAAACTTCAATAAATACTCACGGGGCTAACGGTCGATCGTAACTGTAACTTGGATTCTCGTATTCACTTGATCTTTAGCTTATTAGTTCTTCTAATTCCTACATTTGAACCAAAAAAAAAAAATTGTGAGCTATAATCTGAACAATCGCCTGTCCATGCGGGAATCAAAATCCATTAACGCAAAAGAGCATATTTGGTCATATCGCTGTAATGGTTGCATAACGCATCCACTATGCGGTCCATCTACTCGTCTCTACCATCTCTTTTTCTCATGGCTCTCGTAAAGGGGGACAGCATCGCCTAAACGATTGGTCATATTAAAACATTGACTATATATAATATATATACTAATTCATATGTGATTTTACATAGTTGAAAATAGAAATTAATAAACATAGAAGTAAACAAACTTCATGTCCGTTTCTCACGATTTGGTTCAGTTCAGGCAATTATCTCATATACGTCATATACGGTATAAGTAAATCCATTTTCCAAAGGTTTTCCTAAAAACAAAAACAACAATTTCGAATGTATGTACGTACGTATAAGATGCGATACGCTTGCGTAAGTGTATATCATAAGCTTTTTCTACTTTCCACCTGCAATCCATTTAAACGGGATTTATTTTGCAATAATCATATGATATGTCCCTGCTAGCGATAGATTGTTTGTATGTTTGATATACATACTTGTGAGGATGTGTATAATATCGAGAGAGGACTTGAGATAGACGCACTTATTATTATACCGATAAGCTACGTTTGTCTGTCTGTCTGTCTGTCCAATTGTCCACCTTATATCGTATACGTTCAATTACTACTCAACAATTTTTGAGATATTTTAATGAATTTTGATACACCTGGAACATGTTTTTTCCCGTCCACATACGCTATTGCAAACTTTTTGGATCGATCGGGTTATTCGTCCGACCACTCGTCACACTAACGTTTCATTTAAAAAAGTCATTACACTAAATAATTGACTGAATAGCAAAATAGCGTAGGGTATTTAATGGTGGACCATGGCCCGCTATAATGTCTTTACTTCCTTAACGAATATTACGAGATGTTATGAATGCAATGATAAAATTGCTTTACCTCTCTAACGATCGGTGGTGGGTACAAGAAAAATTACAAAAGATGACGGGAGCGAGAGAGATGTCTATCTTTGCATATGTAATACTTTTATGCTTGCATATGCGTTTTTAGAGCATATTTGAAAAAACGTTTCTCCAGATCAATGCCAATCACCTTTGCTGCGTACCTAAAAGCTATACCCACGTAGTACACACATGTTGTGTTTTAGTTGAATCACGAAAATTTTAAATGATTATAGCTATCGATCTGCGGTTTTATCAAAAATGAATGGCGAATGGCACGTAAGATATGAAAGAAAAATTCTCCAATTTCAGGTTCTGCATTCTAATGACAGCTTAACTTAAGCTTACGATATGTGAATTTGTATAATGAAAATGTGTTTTATAAATATGCACTTATTTGATACACAAATTTTATAATGTAATTAATTTTTAAAATAAAAAATAAAAAAAAAAGTAAAAAATTAAAGAAATAAGAAGAAGAAGAAAAAGAAGCTTATATATTTCTAATTTTTGAAGGCAAATACAATTCTTTGCTCCGAATAATTATAAAGCAAACCGAAATTTATATAACCGTGTATTATCGTCGTCCTCTTCTTCTTTTTTAATCTTGTTTGCATCTGATAATTAAAATCGAATATAACTTAAAAGTTATAACCGCAAACACAAAGTTATTATGTAAATAAAATATTTTTTCATAATAAAATTTACATAAACATTTACATTTAAGTAGGAGGGAAGTTTGCAATCTTTCCTGTCGATTGTGAATTCTTCCCTTAACGAAATAAACTATCAGTACTCAACTGATCGTCCGCTTCGAGGTCTCTCCAAGAGAATTCATAATTAATAGAAGCAGGAGACCTTCTAAACGAGCATTGACACTTTACATTGAATCCCTCCTCATCAAGGTGAAAATGTATGCAATGACGAAAATGTTCGTGAAGAGGTACGGACGCCGTCACAATTATAAATCCAAATAATTGATTACTTATAGGTGTCCTCTAGATGTCCCTCTAATAAATCACCGAATAGATAATAATATTCAATTTCAAGCTTGATAATCCAGCAATAGCAATATTCGGTTTCGGGCGAATCTTCCATTACTCACCACTTAAATTTGATCCGGTATTTCATTATAAACGAGATGAAAAAGTTCTATTCACTCTATATACGCGTACAAAATATTTTGCGACTTGACTTTATAGGTAATTAATTGTACACTCGTCATCCACCGTCTTTGAAATTTGACAGATTAAAGTCACAACATAAAGCATTAAACTGTAGACTCTACTTTATATTATTAAAGCCTAAATTTGTGGGAAAGAGAGAGAACTATTAATTTTGTTTGTTTGTTTTTTTTCATTTTTTTTTTTTTTTTTTATTCACATTTGGATCGAATTTAACTTCTTGTATAGTAAAAATTTGAGATCGTAATTGTCACAGAGTCTCTCTGCTCTAGCAGAGATGCCTTTATAAATCCATTCTTCTACTCACGATGATCGAGCATATATATATGCTTTACTACACGGTCTCGTTTTTAGCCAATTTTAAAATAACACGATTCATCAATAAGAACAAACAAATACTCTTTTTCACACGAATCCCAAAACGAAAGTTTTTTTTTTTTTTGTTTAATTGTAATTTTGACAGTGTCTTACACAAACTTATGTTTACGACAGCAAAAGTCAGTTGAAGAAAAGCCTTGATTAAAAATCGATCGATTTATGCCCAGCTGCTATAACAACACAGTAGCAACAAAGAAGCCAACAGCGGCTATTAAGAACGAACGAAATTCTTTATTTGAATCAAACTCGACAGTTGTGCTGTACATACCTGACATATAAACTAATAAAAGCATTTTTAATCCACTCTTAAACCTGTACGCTTGTTATCAAATAGCGAGGTATGCTTGCGAAATTAATTTTTATTTCTAATTTCAGTTTAAATTTTCATATATTACATTTATGGACGGAATTTACACTGTACACTAGTTTTATTTATTAATTTTTTTTTTTTTTTTTGTGATAATTTTTGTAACTGTTTTACAAAAAATATGTAAAAAATATGTTTTCATTATTACTTTTTTTGCACGGTTGTTTTGAGAAAATAGTTAAAGTTTTTTCAACTTACAAAATTTTTTAAAATTACACAAATATACCACGTGTCGCCTGTATACTTTTACACGATTTTTTTTCCACGGTTTTCTAAGGGACATGTGGCCGCGTAAAAACATGAATTGGGTGTTCATTACAGTGATTTCGCCGCATATGCGTATATGTATGTGTGTGTATGCGTGTTTCCAGTGGTGAGTACAATAACCTATGAAATGTTCGGTTTTACAAATCTTAAGCTCATAGTTTTGATGACTCTTAACAATAAGAATATTTTGAACGCTTGTCATCAAAATTAACTCCACAAACTTTATGGCGTTATTGTAGTAATATTATAAAATTTGTATTTTAATAGAGTTATAAAAATAAATTACAAAACAGTTCCATTCAATGTTAACAGAACTTTTGTTTAGGAACAATTTTGAAAACACTTTGTAAGAGTTATAAAAAAATACATCAAAGCAGTTCCACTAACTGTAAATAAAAAAAATTGTATATGGACAATTTTGAAAACACTTTGTAAAAATATTTTGAAAAACTTCTATTTGACCAAAAGAAGTAAAGAAAAACAAATGCTAATATAAAATAATTATAAAATATCTAAAGTTAAGTTTCTCATAAGATCGTTTTCAATTGATTTAAATAATACTGTGTTTGTGTGTGTGTGTGTGTGTGTGAATCATTTTGCAGCAAGCGGGATAAGGAGAGAAAAATTATGTTTGCGTTGAACTGAATTTTCTCATATCTGTTGTTTTTGATTGATACATGTATATCACTGTATGATATTTTGGCTTTACTAATAATTGATTACGTACATTGCATCATTAATATTTAAAATATATTTCAACTATATTTTTATATATGCGTAAAAAGCTATATATCGAGCATTTCAATCCGTAGCGCAAATGGTGCTAATTTTAAACGTACAATATCTTAAAACAATGCTTAGTTAACATTGAGTTTATGCCGTGTCTTCGTAATTCTTAAAAGTTGAGCACAATTGTTCATCTCAACGGAATTCAAATCCTTTCAATGGAAATTCGTAGCACTTTTGCTTTTTTCCTCCATATTTCAATTAAAATTCTAACTCTGAAGTTGAATTTATAGAATAACAAAAATAATTAAATTATTTTTTGGACTCATTTTTCCATGAAATTTCTGATCTTATAAGAATGAATATCGTTAGCGCTCGCTTTTTTGTGTTCTATATCGGAGATCCTAGTTTGATATGCGACGGATGTTTATTCGTAACTAAAAACTAAATGCTAAAGTTTTTAAGTTTTTTTCAAGTTTATCAATTACATAGCATACAAATCAATCGATCTCGCTATTCATACTAGTCAACTATAGATGTATATATAAGTTACGATTTATTCAAAACTTATCTGACGTTGTTGCTAGAACTTTCATCAAATTATTCGCTTCATTGCATGAATGAAAAATTTCTCTAACATTATTTTGTAGCCTACTTTTTGGCTAAAATGAATTTCTACATAAAGGAAAAAGAAACTTGCTCTAGTATTTTGCATATAAATCGAACACAGTTAAGAACATTGTTAGAATGGATTTATGCAAAACATCGTAATTGTTTATAATTCAACAATTTCATTTCGAATGAAAAAACTCAAATTAGAAATGATTAAAATTTCTAAGAATAATTGAATATTTTGCATAGTTTGTTGGTTAATTCCTGAAGTATAAATTTCAAAAAGCGAATTAGTGAATTCTTAGTTTGCATTTTGCTTAAAAAAAAAAACAAAAAAAAAATTAACATCATTCAATTTTTTAATAAAAAAAAGTCAATTTTGACGGATTTTTATAATAATTTTATTTACTTTCATTAAAGCAAAGCAAATGTATGATAATATATGAAACAATACGTAATAAAGCGTATTTAAATATATCGTTTACATATACATAGGGCAAAAAAAAAAAAAAAATTTTTAAATTTAAAAATTTTAATAATTTTGAAAGTAGAGAAAGTATATTACGCGTTATTGTTATTCGTAGATGTTTCTCTTTTCATATTCTTGACAGCTTGATTTTTTAAATATGAATTATCTTAAGGTTTACATTTTACACTCGCACAGCATTATATCCGGTCAGGCGACAAAATGGAAAATATATTTGTTTTGCCATTATATTTTTGACGTCAAGTATACTTAATGTATTCGTCATCAGCTCAAGATTTCTATTGTTTTCTGATCACTCTATCCACTGCTTATTTTTGAAATACTTTAATGTATGAATGTGACGCGCCTAATTTTTTTTTGCTTTTTTACAGAGATAGGCATTCTGATAAGAATAAACAATGTGCTTTTCTTGTCGCAATTTTTATGATGTTATGTCAAATTTGATATTCTGGAGTAACTGTCATAATAAATTTTTGTGTCAATCTTAACTTTGTTATGAAACAAAGTTGCTAGGTCACAAAAATCACAAATAAAAGTATTGCTCATGACATGGAACGTCTCCACAACCTTACTCAGCCAGAACGGGGTTCTAAGACTACTCTAGAGGAGAAACATATCAAAGCTATATTTGTTGATGGCAATCTAAACTAAGTTTTATAACGAGTTATCAAAAGCCAGAGATTTCATATTATTATATTATCCACACAAAGACATCGGAGATCTTACAAAATCTGTACTTTTCATATTGGTGTAAAATGCTAAGGGGTGCCCTGGCCTAACATATATTATTTTTCATCAGTCTTAAAGCCGGAAAGATTGAGAAACTAATATTTGCTTTATAGATGTTCCTATCCATGTAATGCAAATTATTAATTCGGATATTCCAAATCAGTTGACAAAATTTCTATATTCCTTAATCCAACATCCAAGTATCCAAGATTGCTAAGACGAATGTAATTTAATTTTGTTTTTTTCAAATAGAATAGAAGTAAAATGCATTGAAGACCATATAAAATCTCCATATTTTCAATTAACGCGAACAACGAGATCGATTTTGCATTGTCCATTCATCTGACGTCCTCATCACGCCGCAACTATGATCTTTACGTAAATTTTAAATTGAAAAAAAAAAACAATAATATATTATTTATATTATTCAGTCAAGTTAATTTTGAAAATTAACAAAATCTGTTAATGATGTATCCATATTATGTTTTATTGAATTTGCTCTATATATGACAAGCGAAATGTTAAAATTAGTTAATTGTAATCTCTTGGAAAAGAAGTAAGAAAAAAAAAATGTAGATTGAATTGTTTTAAACGTAAATAAACTTTGAAATATTTTTTGTACTGTACTTTCAGTTACTTAAAAAACAAATAATGATGATGATGATAAGTACCTGAACATTAAAGAAGAAAAGCTTGAAAAATGCAAATTAAAAAAAGTAATTGAATTGAATTTTGTATTGCATTGTTTAAAAAATGTATAAATGTATGCGAAAGGAAAAATGATAATAATAATAATAATAATAAATGTTAAAAGACATCAAATGAATAATTAATTGAATAAATTAATTTAAAGTTCTTTATTTTATATATTATTAACGTTTATTAAATAGTTTTTTTGAAAACTTTACAAAGATGGGTAAAGTTATTTTTTATCTTTAGTTTCTATCTCCATAGCGGGAGGATTTGCATTACGGAAATTGGGAAATTGTTCCCATGGCGCTGATAAGTCAAATTTTCGAAACTCTTGTGCCAATTCCAAAGGTTCGCACACTACTCGTTTCTTTTCATCGTCATAACGCAACTAAAGGCACATTAAAGAATTTCATTAATTGAAAAGAAATGAAATTTAATTTAATTAATTTATACCTCAACGTAACCGGACAGAGGGAAATCACGCCGTTGAGGATGACCCTCAAATCCGTAATCGGTCAAGATGCGTCGTAAATCTGGATGATTTGCAAAGAACACACCGTACATATCGTAAATTTCACGCTCATACCAGTTAGCTGCTTTGTATACCTCGAAACAAGAATCCAAAGGTGTTAACTCATCGGTATATGTTTTAACACGTATACGTGAATTATACCGTAACGAAAGTATATTATAGATGACCTCGAAACGATATTTTCGGTTCGGTACATCCATACCAGCAATATCGGTTAAATTACTGAATTGAGCCTGATGATGATCTTTAAGGAATTGCAACACTGGCACCACACCCTCAGGAGCGATTAGCACTTCCAATTCGTCGCCAGCGGTCAATTGTACTTTCTGCACATATTTGGGCAAACATTCAGCCACATAACGTCCGAAATCTGATAAGCTAGTACGAGCCATCTCATTTGGTTTACGTACAGTGGCTAAAATGAAAGCAGTGCCCAAAATGGAAACATATCCTTTACTATGTATTTATACAAAAATATATCACTTTTGTTAATTAAACAATTTTTTCCAAATGAATACATTGCAGTTTTATATAAACGTTGAGCTATTCGGAACAAGTTCCAAAATCAAGGATTGTTAAAATAAATAAAAATAAAGCAGACGAAATAGATTCTTATCATTTTGCATTAAAATTTATTGCATTTTTTTTTTTTGCGCAAACGATAGATTAATTTCAACTAGAAATGATTATACGACATAGCAGAAGGACGAATAGAGGTATCAGTAAGAAATTGCCAATCCCAGTAGAGTTCAACTCGTCAAAGTAAAAAAGACGGATCATTATATATTTTGCATCAAATTATTTCAGAAATTTTTCCAAAACTGTATTCACCATCCAAACATTTGAAACTACTTAACATTTGCTTCTCAGAAAATATTTTCAGTTCACTTCTTTTTGTAATTATAAAATTTACGTAGTTTCGTCCGTCACCCACACATTTCCAACTTACGCATTTCGGGTTTTTTTGTTTCCGCTGCAGCGCTCATCAAGCGTATGGTAGAAGTATTTAAGGTGCCACTGGCGGTTAATCCTATAATATGTATATATGTAAATATTTTATTTATTTTATTTATTGAGTTTGATATTTTAATTTACCATTTTTAGCTGCCAAGCGTATACCCAGGCTTCTTATAAAAGCAGCCATTACTTCCAAATTGTTCAGGATAGTTATTCTTGGATAAATGAAAAATTATCCCAATTCCAAAATGTAGATTTGACAATTTTTATGTAATAAACATCTGTCTCTTGTTCTTCTTCTTTTTTAAATTTCAGAGATTGTCCTTTTTATCTCGACACAAACAGCGCTGCATTTGAAGTTAAACTATTTTATAAATGTGAAAGTTAAAGATACGCGAAAGTACATTGTGAACAGTAAAATTGACATATAAAATTTGTTTATATACTAAAAGTATTTAAGACACTTTTGAAATTAAAAAAGTTTTTTTTAGAACTACAATTAACAACACTGTCTAATAGCAACGATGTTTACGATTATTTCGTTCTCGGAACGTCGCGTCACTCGGCACGTCAAGTTCTTTTCAATCGTTTTCTGTGAAACAAATCGAGAAACTTGCGGAAAATACCATTTCAGCGTTTAACATAAAAACGTGAAATAAAACATATAAACAAAAAAAAAACGAAATTTGTTTACGTTTTTCCACTGAGAATTATTGCTTTGAGCAAAAGGAAATTATGAACCATCTTAAATGGATGGGCCACTCGGCCACCATATTGGATATACAAAAGAATCTGCGCAGCGATTTGGAAAGTTGTGAAGTAACATTAGTTGCCAAGGGTCATTCGGTGAAAGCTCACCGCTTTGTACTATCATCCTGCAGCGATTTAATGCGTTCTTTGTTAACGGATATACCCTTGGGCCAAGAGTGCACAGTGATGGTGCCAGACATTGAAGGCGTTTTGTTAGATAGTGTCTTAGCGTTCATTTACTTGGGCGAAGCATGCATATCTGCTGGTAATTTATCTGTATTTTTGGAAGCAATTAATATTTTAGGCATCAAATCGGCGATTAGCTTTGAATGCCACTCAAATTCTTCACAAAATGCCAGCACTGACACTGTGTCATCTAGTTCCCCGTCTCCCGTGGTGACGCGAGTTTTAGGCAATAGCCTGAATTTAAGTCATGAAGAAATGATCACCCACGACAGCATAACGCAAAAATTGGAACCGTCAAATGTTATTCCGGCCGAATCGCCATCGACAGCGACCAACACATCTAACAGAGATTTGGAATTTTTAGACGTCTACCATGATCCCCAAAATAAAATTACTTATTCCATAGAACATGTGTCAGGCGTTGCGGGTGGCAATGAATTTATATTAACCGAAAATTCAGGCACTTATACATTGACACAAAATCCAAAATTAGAAACCGCTTCAAGTACAGCTTCCGCAAATATGGACACCAATGAGGATGAAGGTGTCGAAATTCATATTAGCGAAGAGTACAGTAGTAATGATGAGAACCTTATGCAATTAGATGACTCAGCACCTGAAGTTACGGTTACAAATGCAAATTCTTCAGCTGCTCACAGCGGTAATACTATTAATAACGTAGTTGAGGTAAAGCCAAAAATAAAAACAATAAAATTAAAAGCCCGACCTGGCACAGCCAACGCTGTTAAGCTGGACACTCCAATGGATACGGCGAATGTCTCGGAAGATCCTATCTCTATAATAGAAGCACATGATGAAAACTTTACTATTCTTAAAGAGAATGGAAACAATGAAAATGCAGGAGACAATGAGTCAGGTGCAACCGATTTAGTAAATTGTAGCTCATCGCAGACGCCGATTGACTTAGCTTATCAAGCCATGATAAACGAAGGGATAAGCTTGCCTAAAGCGGCTTCCAAATTTAATGTATCCAAAACAGAGTTGTGGTGTCGAGTACGCAGCACAGGTGTCGAAAACTATATGTCATCGACGTCAGAGTCTAATTCAGTTCGCCCAATAAAAAAAGAAGATGCAATCGAAATGGCATGCAAAGTTGTCATTTCTGACGGTTTGAGTTTGCAGAAAGCAGCGATGAAATTTGACATATCGAAAACGGTTCTTTGGCGCCGTGTACGTAAGCATCCTGATTATATGAAAACTGCCCGCGAAAATCCCATAGTTACTAAAGCCTATGAACGCTTAAAAAGTGGTGAATCTTTGAAAAGCATCAGCCTAGATTTGGATATACCCATGTCGACTTTACATCGTCATAAGGTGCGACTATCGCAACAGGGTCAATTGCCCGACTTTGTTACATGCAAAAGACGCGATTCCACCTCAAAGGATGATCTCAAGCTTAAATTGGCCAAGGCGGTGCAAGCTTGCGTGCAAAATGGCATGTCCCAAAATCATGCTGCCAACGTGTACGGGATATCTAAGAGCACATTATGGCGCCACCTTCAAAAACGTGTCGCAGAAGCTGAAGCATCTGAAGCTGCTGAACACTCTACCGGATCTATGGAAGAAGACGAAATCAAAGAAGAAGTTATACTTTCATAAAATCCGCCAATCAATTTATTCGCGGCAATATCTAAAAGAGAAAAAACCAATAAAGCAAATAATGAATTTTATTAAATGCGTATTTTAAATTATTTAAATGTGAAAGCGAAATATATGCGAAACTATATTGTTAACTATAAAAATTACACATAAAATTTATTTGTATACTAAAGATATTTTTTATTAATTTACACATGACATTCAGCCAAAATAAACTAACAGCCAAATTCAATTGACTCTTAGAAGTAAGTCTTAAACTAATACAAAGTATATGAAAAGAAGTAAATAGAAAAAAGAAAAAAACGAATAAAATCATGTATAAATAAGATAGAAAAAAAAGTATATAGGCATCTAGCACAGAGGCGCACCCACAGTCGGTATAGTTCCAAATTGCAAGCGAACCCCTAAACCATTGCAAACATGCAAACGCTTGGCAACCGATAACAGTAAACAACACCAGCTAATTTTATGTTAAGGCTGTAGAGTTAGTTTAGTTAGTTTACTATACGACATGGGCAAATGGCCCGTATTAAAAATAGTTGTTTTGATACAATTTAAAGAGTCCGATATTTAGATCAAGTTATAGATATCATTTAAGTTTCCACAAATGCATTACGAATTAACTTAATTAAGAAGGAAACACCAAGAATAAGTCTACGTTTCTCAACCGAAGGTAAAGCTAATAGAAGCAATCTATTTTCATAAGGAGACAAAAATACGAATCAATCTAACCCAAGTTCTTAAGGGCGAACAGCAAGAATTGCTTTTAAACGGATTCAATTAAATCTACATAACAACTATAGGAAGGAGACCACACAGCAGAGGCGTGTTTTCAAGTATTAGCCTATATGTGTATCCTTTCTGCACGGTAAGAATCGTTGACCTTTTCCGACCACCTCTTAATAAAATCAAGCGCGGTTCTAGCTTTACTTAAAGGACCAAATTAAAACGTAAGTTTTTTGAATCGATCCAACACTCAGTATTGAATGAATTCCTCCTTGAGAAAGAAAGCTTCTCACACTTTTTAGAATTAAATCGAAAAAAATCTAATGAGCACCCTGTAACAAAATAATTTAAATCATTTTAAAGCTGATACCAATGAGATTCAAAGGAGAAGGAAGAAAACAGTTTAACATCGTGAGCTTACATTTAGATCTGGTTAAATTTAATCAACGTGGGGAGATCATTAATGTATATAAATGTATATAAATTAAATAAAGGAGATCCTAAGTCGCTGCCTTGAGGGACGCCAGACGTCATTGGAAATCTCTCCGAGGTGACAAAGTTAAACAGAGCCCTGAATGATCTGCCATGCAGATAAGAGCTTAGCCATATTACTAAACAAAAAGGGAAGCCAGAGGCCTGGAGTTTGAAGATCAATAAGTTATGGTTAACTAAGTCAAACGCTTTACTAAAATCAGTATATACAGCATCCGTACACTCTAAGAGAAGCGCAACAGTGAATCTTCCTTTTCGAAACCATGACGAAATGGAGATATATAAGATTTTATAGCGAAAGCTAAATGCTGCGTAACAATTCGCTCAAACAATTTAGGCAAGACACTCAACTTGGCAGTGCTTCGATAGTTCTCAACGTGAAGTCTGTTTCCACATAGTGAATTTCAGAAAACTCAATCCATGTAAAACGTCATTTTCTGAAATGATCAACTTAAGAATCGATATCGAAACTCTGATCTGATATGGATAATTAACAGTTAGATCGGAATAGCACACTTTTCAAATCAAAGGCGATTAAAAAATTTTTTTTTTGAACTATCAATGTTGTTTACGTTTATTTCGTTCTCGGAACGTCGCGTCACACGGCACGTCGAATTCTTTTCAATCGTTTTCTGTGAAACAGATCGAGAAACTTGTGGAAAATACCATTTCAGCGTTTAACATAAAAAGGTGAAATAAAACATATAAATAATAACAAAAAAAAAAAACGAAATTTGTTTACGTTTTTCCACTGAGGGTTATCGCTTGGAGCAAGGAGAAATTATGAACCATCTTAAGTGGATGAGCCACTTGGGATTTGGAAAGTTGTGAAGTAACATTAGTTACCAAGGGCCATTCGGTGTAAGCTGATCCCCTTGCGAGGTACAGAAGGCGTTCTGTTAAATAATGTCTGAGAGTTCATTTACGTGGGTCGAACCATTATCCGTAGTGACCAGCACACCTAACAGAGATTTGAAATTTTTAGGCGTCAATCATCAAAATAGAATTACTTATTCCATAGAACATGTGGTCGTCAATCAATTTATTCGCGAATAGAGAAAAAACCAATAAAGCAAACAATGAATTTTACCAAACGCGCATTTTAAATTTATTATTAGGGAAAACCACAAATTAACATTTAATCAATTTTAATTTTTGGAATTTAATACACATACACTCGATACACTATATTTATGATTTTT